GAAAAAATTTTACCGCACTGATATGTCAAAAAAAAAGCAAAATTTTACATTTTTTCGCCTGTAGGAAAAATATTGTACCTAACACTTGCGGAAAATATTTTTCCGCACTCGGCTGCATCACCGAACTCCGCTACGCGTCGTTCGGTGAACGGCAGCCGCGTGCGGAAAAAATCATTTTCCGCACTTGTTAGGTAAATAGCTATTTGGGTCATTATTAACTGGTTTTTAATCATGTCAAGTTTTTTTTTTTAATATCATTTGTTGCATCATAAAATTTTAATTTTTTAATAAATACTTATTGTAGCTCCAAGTCAAGTTGCACGCCTTCATAGCTTCATACAATACTCACAAAGGACACGTGTAATATCATAGGGACAGAAACGCGCGACGGGGGAGTATACAACTTTCAGAAAAGGAATTCTAGAACTGTTGCTCCGTCCAAACACACTTTCCAGATTCAAGAATCAGTCAGCAGGAAGAAAAGCTGCCACCTGAGCAAGTACATAGGCCTAGAAAAGCCGACTGGTTAGTTGCAACCAAGGCAGTCCACATTTCAATCTTTTAAATCTCCGTGACAAGAAGGGGTTTTCTCGGCTCTACTCCAGATGGATTGGAACCGTTACTTCCGAACCTTTGTAGAGTATAGCGATCGTGCGTTGCATTGGCATGCAGGACGACAAATGCGGTCTCTATTCCAAAACCCGGACGCGCAAACTACACAAAAGCCTAACCTCTTTCTGTCTAAAAACTATGGAAAAAATAATTGATAGCCACATAAGAGACACCCCTCCACGAACACCAACACGCCTATCAAGCAGGCAAGTCGAGCGAAACAGCACTGCACAGTATCTTCAGGGTTGAAAGATCCATCCATCTCAAAGAAATCGCTCTATGTGCATTAATCGACATTCAAGGTGCCTTTGACAACGCCTCCTTTGCTGCGATGGTCAAATCGGCTGAAAGGCATGGCATTGACGACACCACTTGTAGGTGGTTACGAAACACGCTCTAAGGACGACAGATTCGAACCACTCTGTACGGAGAGACCTTGGAGGTATCTGCAACTTGAAGTTGTCTACAGGGGGGAGTACTATCACTCCTTCCATGGAATTTGGTGATTGATGAGTTACTACTGCTACTGCGTCTCAACTCGGAGGGGTTCCACGCCCAAGGGTATGCTGACGACGTGATCATAGTCGAGCAGGAGAGAGACACCAGGTGTACAGGAGAACTCATACAGAAAGCACTTAGAAGTCTGCAGAGATGGTGTGAGGAGATTAACCTCCCAATAAGCGCAGAGAAAAAAGCGATTCTACCATTCACTAAAAAGCAATTGGCGGAAAGCTATTACAACCTTTGGTGAAAGTATAAAAACTGTTAATGAAGTGAAATACCTGAGCTTAATCCTAGACGCTAAATTGACATGGAACCAACAAATCGAGAAGATTATAGACATGTACCGCAGGAGGTGCAGGCACAAGTTTGGCAAAACCTAGACCTGAAACCAAAGATGGTGTGTTGGTTATACATCACAGTTATCAGACCCATGATAACATACAGGCCACCGTATGTAGAAAAAGACTGAGCAAAAAACGACGGTCGTGAGATACAACCGTCTACAGAAACTAGCTTGTGTATCTCAGGATCCATCAAAAGGATCAAAAACTATCCGGTTCTTTTCTTCTTCATGGACTGTATGTTGCAACTTTTATATTTAAAACTTTTCTCTGCGTCCGCTAAAAATGCATTTCGCGACCTTGGCATACAATAGTTATTTATTTACTAGGCAGAAAAGTACAAGATTTAATGCCGCGGCTGGTGTTTCATAGCCGAGGCTAGGAAACCAGCCGAGCCATTCATTATTATTATCCAAATAATAGGCTTCTTGCATCAAATTTTTTTATTGCTGATTTCGATAGTCCATGAAAAATAAGTTAACACGTGTTTTTTCTTTTTCTTCTTAGTCAAAAATTGACGGAGATACAACACTATGAAATCTGCCTATGACGTCACTTATCTAATAAATTAGTGACGTTGCACATGCTCAGTATATCTATATATACAAAACTTAATATTTGAATAACTTCCGTAACGATTTTTTTCCATTTCCTACAGTTTGCAATAAACAATAATCATATATTATATCACAAGAGCTTTAAATTTAATCGATTAAACTATCCAACATATTTTGAGCATGATTTTGCTTGGAAAATAGTTGAATGCACAATAACTTAATAAAAGCCCGAGACCGCGCAGAGGTCGAGGGCTTTTATTTTAAAGTTATTGTGCATGAAACTATTTGCCAAAAAGCAAAATTATGCAAAAAATATTTGGATAGTTTAATCCATTTAAATTTATAGGTCGAGTGGTATACGGCTAGATTATTTCCTGAATAATTAGGATTGAATTGTTGGCGTCAATCCTATCAAAAGAGTTCTATTTATTATAAAATGTCAGAATATTTCTATCAAAATTCTGTCAAAAAAGGTAAACAAAAATTTAATCGCTGATAAACAGGTCTTGTGAAATAATCACTTATTTAAACAAAATTTATTCAAAAAATGACGTTGTCTGATGGGTCTATTTTATAATGAATGAAATAATCAATTTAATTTTCCATGCAAGTACCCTATTAAATTATTTTGACAATTGTCATTGTCACCTTCAAATTCAAATACCAAATTGAGTGAAATTATTACCTGGAACGTTGTGACACTGCCACTTTTAATGCATAGGCAGTAAAAATACTAAAGTCTGTTTTTTTTTTGAAGATAATTCCCCAAGTCAAAAATTTAGTAACTATGTTGGCAACACAAGCCTTTTCTACATAAAAAATTTGAAAGCATTGACAATTTTACATTGTATTGCCAACATAATGTCATTTTGACTTTTATCTTTAAAGAAAAAACACACTTTACTTTAGATCCTGTCAAGTGTCTTTAAAAGGCCGTTTTTACTGTCATTCGGAGAAAACTATTTTACATTGCCCCACATACTACTGGCCTTGCAAGACTTTTTCTTTCAAAAGAACTAAAAAACTTAAATCTACTTGAACAAAGTGTGAGTATTAACATATAATAATAAATAACAAAAAACGAAAAGCTTGGTTCAAATTAAATGTTCTTCACAACTTCCAGGATCACACATAATCGGTGGCTATTGGGTCCCTTGGGAGAACGCACAGTTTTTGAACTGAGCGTTTCACTACTCCTGTGGCAGTTCGAACATTTACAACGCGAACTATTCCATCGGACCCTGGATGTACTTATGTACTTATATCAACTATCCTATCCAGCTTCCATTGTAGTGGGGCAGTAACCTCATCCTTCAGGACAACCATTGTTCCTAATCAGATATTGTCTGCAACTTGGAACCATTTCGAACGTTGTTGCAACGTGGTCAAGTACTCTGGAACTCAGCGACTCCACAGGTCTTGAATCATTTGTTATAGAGCATGGTAGTAACTAAGACGATTGGTAGGCATCTCTACTATATATTTTTGTGGCAGTGCATTCAGGGACTTCAAGGAGTCTTCGATAAGGAAATGTCCAGGGGCCTATAACACAAACACTACAAGTCGAACCAGTGTACAAATAAATTATACAAGTGTAGATATTCTATAACACAAAGTAATTTGTAGTTACTAGCGGAGCACTGGTAGTTACGGAACTTTCTGCACAATAGTAGAATCTTTTTATAACATAACCACCACCTTTGTACACTCGTGTAACGGAATTGTAAACAATTGTAAAGAATCTCCTACCTATTCTAAACGCTGGGTAGATTCAGTGTAGTGAGGTCTTCCACCTTGAACGTATCATTTTACTTTTACTGTCTATATTATGTGGTCAAGTGATTCAGAGAGTGACAACGTAAATGATCGTGCAGTGTACCGAGAGAGAATTAACTTTGTCATACTACCAGATGGAGAATTTGTGGAAAGGTTTAGACTCAATCGAATTCAGTGTGAAACTCTTCTTCAAGATATAGGCCTAGCAATCGCTAATCGAACGAATCGATGGTATGGCTTGTCACCATTACAGAAACTGCCTATTACTCTTGCATTGGTTTGGAAACGGAGGACAGTACCATGGGGTATGTGATATGCATGAACTCATGGGGTGTCAAAGATGACCGTTTGCAGATGTGTTCACGAAGTTATTGATGCCGTGAACGAAATAAAATTTGATCAAATTCGATGGCCCGACAATACAGCGAACGTCATAGAACTTTTTCATGGTTTGACAGGATGTCCTGAAGTTTGTGGAGCTATAGATGGAATCTTCATAAATATCGTCGCCCCCATGAATAATAAACCTGCTTACGTCGACCGCCATGGAAAACATTCAATCAATTGCAGGGCCGTGCGTGGTCCTGACATGAAGTTTTATTATGTAAGTGCTAAATTTATGAGTGCAAACTGGCCCGGAAGTGTGCACGATGCGCGGGTTCTTCGTAATAGTTCTATGAGTCGTAGAATGGAAAACGGTTGGAAACCTTCTGTTAATGCGGTAATTCTCGGAGATTCCGCTTATCCTTCACGTGAATGGTTAATTCCACTAACCTATGATGATCCGATGAACCCAGCACAAACCGCTTTCAACAGAGCTCACAAACGGACTCGGCGCATTATAGAAAACGCTTTCAGCGTATTGAAGGAAAAATTTCCATATTTGAACCACCTACGGCTTAATCCAGCCTTCGCAGCCAAAATTTTTAAATGTTGTGCAATATTGTGTAATATTACAAAAAATAATGAAGATGTGGAATTAAATTTTGATGATGATGAAGATGACGAAAACAACCGTAGAGAGGACCAACTATCACCAATTGCAGCTCGAGCTAGGCTCCAACAGTTGATCGACTATTTTAGAGTAAATTAATGTGAAGAACGAAAATAAACTTTATTATGCCTACATTAATGGATTATAGATTAAACTGTTACAAAATAAATAATTAATAGATTAGCAAAAAGTGTTTTAAAAATTAAATATTCATGTATGAGTATGATCCAAGTTGTTTTTGCCATAAGAAATGGTTTCAGTAGCAAAACACTGGGTAAATTCAGATCTTGGAAGGTGTAGTGTAGTTTCCAACTGTAAAATTTCTAATTTGATCTTGAAATTTTGGAGTTTGAGGTGTTCAATTTGCAAATTATGCTTTTCTTGTTTCTTTCCATCAGAAATGTCCGCTCCTGAACTACACGTCTTGGTACGCTTTCGTTTCCCTGCAAAATTGTTTGACAAAAGTCAACATACATATTTCTGTATATGTGCAGAAAGTGCAATATTTTTGCACGCAACATGAAATCTGTCGAAATAGAACAGAAGTTGAATTTGACAACACGTAAGTGCAAAAAAAGAACTTTTTGCAAGTGTTGCATACAAAATTTTTTATACAATCGTTTCAATTTTATACCATCAATGAACACAAATGTCTTCGCACACTGGTGCAACTTTTTTTCGCAATAAAATGCCTAGAGTGCAATTTTTGGCACGATCCTAGAAAGATAATATTTTATAAACCTACTTATAAGGCCAGTTGAGGGCACGCCAGGGTCCTTTGTTAATAATAATGGTTGTTCTATTGATGTGCTGTTTAGATGTAGCGGTTCTGCATCATCCAATGATTCTGGCACCCCAAGACCATCAATTACTGGAGACTCCTTTCCTAATATATCCAGCACCATAATATCGATATCGGTCATTTTACCATGGCCGCCTGTTGCCGTTTCTCTTGCATTATCCACTTTTCCCTTAAAATAAAAAGTAAATTAAGTAAACGCCCTATATCTTAGTGATTATTGATATTTGACCGGTAGTTGTTAAGCTGAATCGTCGTAATTTGGCTTAAAAAAATACGCAGTGGCTTTATTGCCTACTAATACTGAAACTACTTACATTATAATAATATGAGTACAAATCAATCATACGAGTAGTAAAATTACTAATACCTACTTATATTAATACAGGGTGTCCCACGGTGGATGGCGTATTAGACGTTTATGGAGAACTAAAAAGCGGATCATTTTGAAAATTTGGCAACCGGGATAAACGCCCTGCTGTAAAACCTGAACGGTTAATTTTAGAGGAAAACTGATTTTACATTCCTATCTTAGATTTTTATAAACTATCATTTGACACCAACTTTGAATTAAATCCATCATTAAAAATTTCAGTTAAATTTAATTTCCGGTTAAGTTCAAAGTTGGTGTCAAATGATAGTTTATCAAAATCTAAGATAGGAATGTGAAATCTGTTTTCCTCTAAAATTAACCAATTAGGTTTTACAGCCTGTCAAAGTTGCAAAAAGTCAATTTTCAACTGTCAATATTTCTAAAACAGTTGAACTTAGGTATAGGGTATATCACATGAAATCTGCTCAGAATTTTACATAGAATCCAAATATGCAATCACATACAGGGTGTTCTATTTAAAATAGCGATGTTGCCACTAGTTTAGAGTAGAAGCGGCAAGACCGCATGGTCAAAAATATTTTTAAAGTGTAGATCATGGTCGTTTATCCCGGTTGCCAAATTTTCAAAATGATCCGCTTTTTAGTTCTCCATAAACGTCTAATACGCCATCCACCGTGGGACACCCTGTATGTTCTTACTTACCATTGTCGTTTTCTTTATATTTTGCCATAGTGTGTCTTTGGCATATGGCCAATTTTTATCTGCAGGCATTAAGAAAACGCTCTTTGCTAAATTTACCAGTTCCTTCCATTTCTCAACTTTTTCTGTTTTTTTCATTCTGTCTGAGAAGGCACCAAACAGAATTTCTTTATTTTCACTAAAATTTAAATTCGTAATTTAAGTATAAAATCCTAAAGGAAGCCCTATTTTAGGCATATATACCAAAAAAAAAAAAAAAATGATCTACAACGTTGAATAAGTTTTTTACAGGCACTTAAAACTGGCCAAATTCAAAATGTTTTGAAACGCGTCAAGTGATAACGTCATCTAAATAATTTCCATTTGGCCCATGTCTGGGAGCATCTGATCGGATCGGTTGCGTTACCTTCTAGTAGAAGGCTCCATTGCGCTGTTGTCGGTTGTGACTAAATGTAATGCGACGTAAAAAAAATAAATAAATTTAAATAAAAGAAATAGACTTAAATTGTGTTTGAGCATAATTTTTTAAAAAAAGTTATAAATTCTTGAATCCATAACTAATTAATTTAACAAATTTTTATGGTATTTTGTTATCATTTTAGAAATAAATCTATTACAAATTTTCAATGTTGGCAGTTAGTGGCAACACGGTCAAAATGCAAACGGCGACGTCATAGGGATAAATTCTGAGTTTTTATTTGGAGATATATATTTTTTTTTTCTATTTTCTCAAGAAGGACTGTGAATTTTTCAAAAGTAAAAATACAGAAAATTCTGTTTTTAGTTGCTTTATCCAATTATGCCAATTTCAAAAATTAGTGAAAAAGCCCATTGTAAGCATTGTGTTATAGGCCCCAGGGCCCTTATTCATGAAACAGGGAAGCAGCGTTCCCCGAAAAACGAGTGTTCCATCTTTCTCAATGATATGCAAATGATAATATGAGTGACAAAGACAGAACACTCGTTCTCCTGGGAACGCTGCTTCCCTGTGTCAGGAATAAGGACCCAGGGGGCCGATTCTCGGGCCAGAGAGTAGAGCTCCCTGAGAGAGCAAATTTTTCGACTTTATCATTCTCATTTACTTTTCGATTACGTTGACAAGGACAAAACATTCGCTCTATCGAAGAGCTCTACTTTCTTGGACGAGAATTGGGCCCCTGGAGACAAAGCGTGGAGATCATTTGGATTTGAGGAGAGAGGAGTATAAGTGGCGTTGAATTGAGAACGGCTTCCGCCTGAGTGGACATGGTTGAGAAAGCCTCAGAAGTATCGGTAACTCTGTATAAATGATATTTCGCGGGCCTTATCGCGGATTCCTACAACCCACCTTCGTGAGGCGATCTTGCAAGAATGAACTGCAAATCGATGTTACTTTGTAAACAATAGGTTTGAACTACTTCATCCGCTTGTACCTTAATTAAACTTTCTCGTATCTTTAATAATTCATTGTTGGAACCAATAAAATTGGCCGCGCTGTCTGAATTTTGCTGGCATAACCCGCGTCTAGAAATTAATCTTTCTAGCAATTTAAGAACGAATGAGCATCATCGGAAAATAAATGTTCCAGTGAATCGCAGCTCTCATTTAGAAGAATTCGTGACCATGATTTAGTAAAATCTATGACTTCTTCTGGAGAAGAGACTACTAGTATTAAATCATCAACATAAAAACATTTAGCTACATTTGGCTTAACTTGGGAAACTGACTGTATCTTACGAAATTTGCTTTAGACATCTTGTAGCTAAAAAGGATGCAGTTTGGTACCACCTCAATTTCATATATAAGTTTAGGAATTTTTCTTCAAGTGATGGGTTTATGGTAAACCTCTTCTTCAATGAAAGAAATCTATTTGTTGCTAAGTCTAAAGAATCACCTAAGTTGTTTATGTAATGTTTTGTGGGCAACGACACCAAAACTCTACCATCTTTATTCCTAGAATAAGTTTTTACAAAATGCTCCTCACATTCGATTTCTTTTTTAGACCTTATAGGCGTGTATGAAATCTCCTCCAAAAACCAAAATTTCTCTAGCTGATCATGGATTTTTTGTTGTTATAAGATGGACAGTTTGCTTTTGATACTAGATTTGTGATCTTTGAAACCTTCATGAAAAGTACCAGATAAAATCCACCCAAGGACAATTTTTTGAAGAATGGGTGCTTGTTTCCCTAACTTGATCTGTCCTACGCACAATAAATCGTAAAAAACTCCAGCTCCTAACAACGTATCTATTTTATCTGACTTGTCGAACTGTGGATCGGCTAATTTCAATTCTGGGGATATAGCAAGAGTCGAGCTATCGAAAAATAACCCCTTAAACCACCCTCAAAGTAATGTGCAAGCGTCTGTAAAAACTTTAAACGGTGTATTACGCGAGGGTGCAAAAACCAAAATGCGTTAGATTCGAATCGCATCGCTTCTCGAATGACGATGGAGTGTCTCACTGACCTGAAGCAGCTTGCTAAGAAGAACAAGGTTCGACTCCTATGAGTTCCTGACCACACGCGCAAAAAGATGAGACAAGTGATAGGGCTATTGACAGGACACTGTCACTTGAGGAAACATCATCACATGATGAGGATATTCAATGGACCCACTGAATGCAGATTGTGGAGAGGAAGACGAAACAGCTTCTCACATCATATATGTCTCTGCGATTCTGTCACAAAAAAGATACAAACTCTTCGGAGCAACTCAGGCCGGGCCTAGACGACCGTTTGAAAATCTTGTCCTAGGGCTCTTAGGCTTCATACAGGGGACTCTTGTCGGACAGGAAGGAAATTGGGGTGCACAATAAGCCAACAGGCTGCAGGGCATGGAAGGTCACAGTGCCTAGCTCCCTCCTATAACCAACCAACCAGCCAAGTCAAGTTCAAGAAGTTAAATCCAGAAAATTATTTTAAAAAGAAATATTCTCTAGGAACAACCTCTTCATGAAATGTCATAAAAAGCAAAGGTTTGATAAGATGAAATTGAAAAAAAAAAAATAGCCCATACAAATCAAATCAAATCAAAATAAGCTTTATTGTCTAAAAAATACCATTGTTTTTCATTGACAAAGCAAAATTCTTATTACTAATTAATTCTAAGTAAATTAAGTCAAATTTTTACCACAATTATGAACCTTAAAAAAGACAAAAATCACAAATCAAATCACTAGTTCAAACTATAAACTTATAGTGCAAATTAGGTTAATAAACATAAATAAGAACTTTACGAGAAAAAAAAAACAGAATAAATATAAATAAATAAATAAAATTTAACTTCTTAGTCGTCAGTATAAAAATAAAATAAAAAATAAACGATATAAAAAACAAACAACAAAGAGAAAAACATCTATGTGGACTATAAAAAGCTTTAGTGACTAGATGTTGCCTGACTAATGAGCGAAATATATCGTATCTGTTACAGTTCTTTATTTGTTGAGGAAGATGATTAAACATTTTTATACTTTCGTATATAACTGAATTTTTTGTAAGAGTAAATCTAGGTACTGGCAAAGGCAAATTATCCTGACGCAGGTTATAGTTAGTTGTTTGAACGAAACCAGAGAATTTTTTAAAAATGAGACTCACAGATTCTAAAATAAAAAGAGAGGGCACAGTCAAAATTTCTTCCTGCACAAACAATGGTCTGCATGATTCTCTACAGCTTTTTTTACAAAGGTAACGAATCGCTCTTTTTTGCAGAACAAACACTGCTTGAAGTGACTTTTGGGTTGAGTAACCCCAGAAAGCTATGCCATATCTTAAATGTGACTCCAATAAAGAAAAGTATGCTATTTTGGCATTTGCTTTGCCAAGTTCATGTACCACAGTTCGGATAATGTAGCATGCACTAGCCAGTTTGCGATTTAGGCAGTCAATATGATTTTCAAATTTAAGAAGTTCATCAATATGGAGTCCTAAGTATTTGACAGTTGGCTTATTCTCTACAGTTTCATCCTGCAGCTTAATGTCTGTTACACTGCACTTGAATGTTAGAATATTGGTTTTTTGACTGTTGAAGCACAGTTTATTTGAATCGCACCATTTCTTTATTTCCAGTAGATCAGCTTCGATAGTAGATTTAAATTGGACTAAACTCTGGATTGTATTTTTTGAAGTCCACAGCCCGTTAGTATCGTCAGCTTGCTGACAGCTTTCCTGAAATCGGCAACGAGAGAAGATCATTGATGTAAATTAGGAATAATACTGGTCCTAGGACGGATCCCTGAGGAACTCCCTGCACTATCTTCTCCCTTTCAGAATAAACCCCATTAACATGCACAAGTTGCTGCCTTTCTGAAAGCATTGAACTAAACCAGTTTAACGAAGTTCCTTGGATGCCATAATGATGAAGTTTCTGCAGCAGTATTCCGTGATCCACACAGTCAAACGCTTTTGAAAAATCACAGAACACTGCCGCAGCGACCTATCTATCGTTTAGACTTAGATAAAGTTTTTCAAAGAACGCAAAGATGGCATCATTTGTACTCCTTGAACTCTGGAAACCAAACTGGTTTTTATTTAAAATGTTGTGACAGTTAAGATAGTACATTAGTTGCTCCTTAACGATCTTCTCCATCACTTTGGATATCGTACTGAGTAAAGAAATGGGGCGATAGTTTGATGGATTATCACTGTTTCCTCCTTTAAAGATGGGTATGACTACTGCAGTCTTCACACAGTCAGGGAAAATTCCTTTAGTAAGGGACCAGTTTATTGAATCTGCAAGGGCTTCCAAGGCATTTCCTGGCAATTTTTCAATAATTTTGATTGAGATGTTATCCACCCCGGAAGTATTCTGTTTTTTAATCATATTGCAAATCTTTATAATTTCCCGTTTGTTTGTCATACTGAACTGAAATTTTACTGCATGTAATATCTGTGGCAATTAAGTTACAGGATCGATATTAGAAGACAAGTTTTGAGTCAATTTTTGAGCAATTGAAGTATAGAATGAATTTAGCTCTTGAGGATGAATATCAATTAAATTATCTGATTTTGTCTTTTTACCCCTAATTTCGTTAATAATCCCCCAATATTCCTTACTCTTGTTTTCAGCCCTATTTATTCTTTTCTCGTATTGAAGCCTTTTTGCCTCCCGAATAAGTTGCCGGTAAATTTTCCGATATTTATTAAAGTAGTCTAAGAAACCTTGACAGTTGGTGAATTTCCTGATCGTATGTAGACTTCTTAAATTTTTAGCTGAAACCTTAAGTCCTTTAGTTAGCCAGACTTTGGTAGTTTTAGTTTTGATTTTTCTTAAAGGAAAACTCTTGTCAAATATCGATGTTACTTTACTTTGGAAAGATTCTATAGGATCATCTGAATTCAGGCAGTGATTCCAATATTCTCCTTCGGCTAAATTTTCAAATTTCTTAAAGTTTTTCCTACTGAAAATCCTTCGCTTTGCAGATACTTTTTTTTTTGTTATTAATAACCGTTAGATTATCTAGCAAAACTTCGTGATCAGATAAGCCCGACGGTATGACTTTACAGTGCAACTCATCCACACTGAAGTTGCTACACACATAGTCGATGGTTGTAGATGACTGATTAGTAATCCGTGTTGGCTCATTTACGAAGACTTTAAGATTAAAAGAGTGTAGTAGATTAACAAGTGCTTTTGTGTCCCGAGATTCAATGTCTGTAAAATTAATATTCAAGTCACCGGCCAGAATAATTTTTGAAGACAATGCAAATTTATGTAAAAGAAATTCAAGATTATGCAAACTTTGAAATATAGTACTCGTTAATATATATTTTTTTTTTCAATTACCCATTAATGTTTAAATCAAGCATTATTAGATACCAATTTACACAATAAAATCTCTTCGCTACTGAACAAAATGCAATAGCCTACCAATTCTACATAAAATGAATACGTATGACCAAATTGGCCCCAATCATGCGTTTTCATTCATTGCCAAAAGTGGTTCATCATATAAATTGCCGAAATAAGTTTTGCAGTAGAATTGTTTCACGTGTGTGGTTAACCACTTAAAGAAACTTAACAAAAAGAAATGATAACAAAGGGTTTTTGGATAACAATTATTACCCAAAATCACTCAAAAACGTTTTCTTTTAATTTCAGATCCTTGTCTCTACATTCTGAGATTTGCCTCAAAACTCGAATTTGGAGCCAAAACGCAACAAGTCACCAACACTGCTCTACGAATGGTCCAGAGAATGAAAAGGGACAGTTTACATTCGGGAAGGCGGCCTTCGGGACTTTGTGGTGCTGGTAAGTAATAGTTTGGAAGTTACACAATTTTGGTAGAAGAATTGAATGTCCAATCAAAGTAGTAGATAAACTTTTGCATGCCATATAATATACCTATCGGCCATCACTTTTACCGAAAGATGATTATATTTTCCTTTTGAAAATTATAAACTTCTTTGTTAGATAGTTTTTGAAATTTTTCAATTGGGCAGTTGCCATTCGTATTAGTCTCTGTTTATTAGATAAATGGAATTAAAAATATGTCACAAGAATTTCCACAAAAGATAAAGGCATTGAGGATTGCTGTGGACGCCTAAGGAATAGCAAACTAGTGAACATCAAATCATTTTTTACATTAAATATGAGATCATGACCAACTCGAAAATAGTATATTGTGTATTTAGGTGGAAAAGTGACACATTCTCGGCCGACGGTGTTAAAGAAATTTTTTTTATTAGGGATTTTATAGGATTTTGCCGGATTTTTTTCGTTCTAATTGAATTTTGTTAGATTTTTAAAAATTTTAAAGATTTTCAGGGATTTTAGGTAGATCTTACAAGTTTTTCTGGGATTTCGACCAACTTTTATATAATTTTTTGTCAATTAATCACTCAAAGTTTAGTTAACTCTATAAAATGTGTACAGGGTGTCCCAAATTCGAAGATGACCATTGAGATATCGGAAGCTATTAGCGATACGATACGAGGTTGGTTAAATTATGGAAAAGTTGCGCAATTTTTTGACCAATAAAATGCTGTTTTAAAATTTGAATAATTCCGAATACTTCCGAAGATATTCGGAAAAAACCAAAATTTTGCAAAATTATTTTTATTTTTTCCTGAATCTATTTGAAGAGCAATTTTAAAATAAATGTCACTTATTGTCACATTTTCCCCTTTACAAGATATTGCTACCAAATTTCAAATTCGACGTTTCGTCTTTGGGCGGCCATCATCAACTTTATTTTTCTAAATACGGACCCTTATTTTTAATTTCAGATTTTAAGAGCTTTTGATGCCCCAAAACCTATGACGTATCGTATTTATTCGAAAAATTTATATTATTGGCACTTTCCATAAGAACTAAATGTGTTAGAGAGAGACAGAGAAGAGAATTTTGGCAGGAATTACTAGAAAGTAATTTTCGAATGAATGCGATACGTCATAGGTTTTGGGACACCAGAAGCTCTTAAAATCTGGAATAAAAAATCAAGCGTCGTATTTAAAAAAATAAAGTTGATGATGGTCGCCCAAAGACGAAACGTCGAATCTGAAATTTTGTAGCAACATCTTGTAAAGGGGAAAAAGTGACAATGATGAAGGGACATTTATTTTAAAATTGCTCTCCAAATAGACTCAGGAAAAAATAAAAATTATTTTGCAAAATTTCGGTTTTTCCCGAATATCTTCCGAATACTCGGAATTTTTTCAAATTTTGAAACGGCATTTTATTAGTCATAAAAATCATCTCGTATCTCTTATAATTTTCGATATCTCAATGGTCACCCTCGAATTTGAGACACCCTGTATATAATTAAATCTTTATTGATTTTGTAGGATTTTGAAAATCTTCACGTAATTTTAAAGGATTTTAAAAGATTTTAGATTTATGAGATTTTAGGTGATTTTGGATCATTCTAGGGAATTTAGATAAGGTTTTTATGGCGTTTTTATCAACTAATTTAGGGGAGCCTTAACGACATTTTTTTGACAGTTCTAACAGCCAGTTGAATTTTGTTATTTATTGTCATGTGACATAAGTCACCCAATCATATCAAAATTATACTGAAAACCTCCCATGGGTTGTTTTCACTTATGACATTTTCTCGGACATTGCTGTCATAAAATTTTCTATACAAATAACCTTCGAACATTGATAAATGCTCAAAATTTTTTCAACAACTTTCTCAAGCTTGTAGCTCATAGAAAACAGACCGACGCGCTAGCGGAGCAACAAGCTTTCGAAATCTGTTATAATTTTTTTTCGGTCAATTATCAATGTCCTTGGGCTATTACCACAGCTATTACTACTGATAAGTATTTTTTGAACTGACATTTCTCCATAGAAGACCGTCATTTTAAGGAATAGGTACTTATTGTTGAAGCTCCCCTAAAATAGTTGATGGAAAAGGCCATTAGAGATCCTAAGGGATTTTTAGCTCGATTTTTAGAAATTTTAACGGATTTTTGAGACTTTGGAATTCTCAAAAATTTTGGAAAAAAGATTTTGCCGGATTTTTTTCGTTCTAATAAAATTTTGTGTGATTTTGTGAAATTTTATGCGATTTCAAGTTATTTTTGAGAGATTTTGTGAGGTTTTGTTTAATTTTTAAAGATTTTCAGTAGGATTTTAAATACATAGGTATATCTTACACATTTTTCTGGACTTGTACACAGATTTTACCCAATCAACCTCTCCGAGGTTTAGTTAACACCCATAAAATAATGAACACATATTTTAAATCTTAATTGATCTTGTAGGATTTTGGGAATTTTGAAAATCTTTACACGATTTTACAGGAGTTCACAAAATTTTAGATTTTCAAAATTTTAGGTGATTCTGGAGCATTTTAGGGGTTTTTGAAAAGTTTTTAGAAATCCCTAATTTAAATGAATGGAAAAACGGAAATTCCTAGACATTTTACTATAGTATTTCATAATACTTTTCCGAATTTCATCATATGATTCTATGGAATTTCACCATAAAATTCAATGGAATTCTTGGACAAAAATTCCTCGGAATAACACTTCTTATGGGATCTCATGAAATTCTTCGGAATTCTACTAAAATTTCAAGTTATTCCATGGGAATTCTGTGAAAATTTTTGTTAATTCCATAGAAATTCCTTAGAATTTCACTAGAAGATTTTATAGAATTCCTCGAAACTCCATTCGAATGACAAATTTGAATAGAAAAACAGAAAGTCCTAGAAATTTTACCATAAGATTTCATAATACTTTTCCGAATTTCACCATAAGATTCCATGGAATTCCACCATAAAGTTCCATGGAATTCCACCATAAAATTCAATGGAATTCTTCTACAAAAATTCCTCGGAATTACAATAAAAGATTTTATGAAATTTCTCGGAATGCCACTAAAATTTTATGTAATTCGACAGAAATTACTCAGAATTACACTAAAATTTAATTCATTTCTTCGGAATTCCGCCGAAATTTCTCTCCAAGAGAATTTTTCGGATTCCTTGTAATTTCACTGGAATTCCACAATAAGATTTCAAGGAATTCCATGTATGTAATTCGATGGGAATTCCTTAGAATTTTACTCGACATTTCATCGAAATTTTATGTAAGTCGATACAAAGTGAAATTATGCGAATATTTCATAATTTTTTTTTTCGAAATCTCACTGAAATTCTCCAAAATTCTATAGAAATTCCGAATTTCATAATTTTTTCAAAACTTCACTGAAATTCCCCAAAACTTCACCACTGAAATTCCACAAAATTTTCATAAAATTTTTCGGAATGTCACAGACATTTCCTGTAATTTCTTAGAAATTCCTCGGAATTTCACTAAAATTTTATGAGAATTTTTTGAAATTTCACTGGAATTCCACGTTATTAGTCGAAAATTTCTCGAAATTCTATTGAAACTTAATTTTTTTTTTTCAAAATTTCATTTATTTCCATAAGAATTTCTGGGAATATTTAAAGTATTGAAACTTCAAGTAATTTCTTGAAAATTCATCAAAATTCCTCCGCAATATATTAAAATTTCATATCATTACATGGGAATTTTTCCAAATTTCACCGAAATTCCAAGTTTTTAGCCGGAAATTCCTCGGAATTGATCTATCTTTTTTAACCTTGACTGCGCGCGCAACTCGTGGACTACAGGTGAGTGTCCAATGAGAAGCGAGTTTGTTACAGGCTTGCGCCATATTCTTATTCAGGAGCCAGTTCAGAATTAATCGTTCCTTCTTTCTTTGTAACGTGTAATTCGACAAAGAGCAAACTTATACTTTACGTATTACTTCTGAATTCACCGCAGTGTTGTTGAAAATTATCACAGATTATATTTGACATATCTTTGCACTTTCATTGTGCAATGTTGCCGGATGAAACATCATCAAAATAAAAGTGCAAACGATGTCAACATACACTTTAAAGCTCTTCTTTTGGCTGATTTAAAGCTTTGTAAAATACGTTGTAAAAATCACTTTTTTATTGGAATATTGTTCGATTTGTATTGTCTACATTTGTTTTGCAACAATAGATACAAATTGGCTACACTGCAACCCACTAGTTGCGCGCGTATGTCATCTTGTATTACTTTTAATTAGGCTATCTTTTTCTATTTATGCGAGACAGGTCAATTCCACTTGTGAAACTTTCTCTAATTTTATTAAAATTCAGTAATTCGAGAATTTTTTGAAATTTCAATTTCATTAAAATTCCATGTTTTTAACTGAGAATTCCTTAGAATAAAAATAAAACTTCATGTAATAACATTAGGATTTTTCGGAATTCCTTATGAAAGTGTTCAAAGTTCCACTTAAATTTCATGTAATTCCCTGACAATTCCTTGGAATTCCATGCAATTGCATCGGAACTCCAATATAATTCGAGAAAAATTTCTCGGAATTCATGTAATTTTTTGAAACTTTTTCAAAATTCTTTATGTAATTTAACGAGCACTGAAATTTCATGTTGGAAATTTCGGTGTAATTCCATGTAATTGTTTAGAATTCCTCCATGTTACTCATTTAGTATTTCATGTAATTCGATCGAAATTCCACTGATTTTTCATGTAATTCAAGAGCAACTAAAATTTAATGTGAATTCTATTGAAACTCCGCAAAAATTTCATGTCACATTTCACATCATAAAATTCAATGGCATTCTTGAAATTTTTTTTTCTTCGGAATTACAATATAAGATTTCATGAAATTCTTCGGAATTCCACTAAAATTTTAAGTTATTCCATGGGAATTCCGCGAAAATGTTAGTCATAGAAATTTCCTAGAATTTCACCAGAAGATTTTATGGAATTCCTCGAAATCCATTCAAGTGATAAATTTGAATGGAAAAACGTAAATTTCTAGAAATTTTAAATAAGATTTCATAATACTTTTCCAAATTTCATCATAAGATTCTATGGAATTCCACCATTGCATAAAAATTCCTCGAGATTACACTTTGAGATTTCATAGAAATTCCATAGAATTCACCAGAAGATTTTATGGAATTTCTCGAAATTCCATTCAAATGGTAAATTTCAATGGAAAAACGGAAATTCCTTACTATAAATTTCACCATAAAATTTCATGGAATTCTACAATAAAATTCAATGGAATTCTTAAACAGAAATTCCTCGGAATTACACTATGAAATTTCATGGAATTCTTCGGATTTTCACTAAAATTTCAAGTTATTTCATAGGAATTCCGCGAAAATTTTAAGTAATTCGATAGAAATTCTCGAGGAAGTTCTAGAACATTTCACCAGAAGATTTTTTTTTTCGGATTTTTTTTTCTCAATTTTTTTTCGGAATTACAGTATAGGACTTCAGGAAATTTCTCGGAATTCCACTAGAATTTCAATTTTAAAATTCTAAAAAAATTCCATATTTTTTTTTTAAATTTTACTGAAATTCCCCAAAATTTCACCACTGAAATATCCTGGAAATTCACAAAATTTTTATAAAATTCTTTGGAATTTCATTGATATTTCATGTAATTTTAAAAAAATTCCTCGGAATTCACTAAAATTTTATGAGAATATTTTGAAATTCTACGTTCATAGACGAAGATTTCTCGGAAGTTCAATGAAACTTCAAGGAATTTTTCAAAATTTCATTTATTTTTATAAGAATTTTTCGGAATTTCACTGAAATTTTCTTTCAATAGCCAGGAATTTCTGGGAATATTAATGAAACTTCAAGTAATTTCTTGAAAATTCATTAAAATATATTGAAATTTCATGTCATTACATGGGAATTTTTCGGAATATCACCAAAATTCCATGTTTTTAGCCGGAAATTCCTCTGCATTGCACTTGTGCAATTTTCTGGAATTTTACTAAAATTCAGTAAGAACTGAATGTTGGGAATTCCGGTGTAATTTCATATCATTGTTTAGAATTCTTCCATGCAATTCATTTAGGATTTCGTGTAATTCGATCGGAATTTCACTGAAATTTCATGTAAGTCGAGAGGAAGTAAAATTTAATGTGAGTTCTATGGAAACTCCGGAAAAATTTCACATGTAATTCCTTTTTCAGGATAACGTAATTCTACCAAAATTCCTCCAAATTCCACTAAATTATGGAATTCTGAGAGACTTTAACAGATTTTTGGGGATTCCAAAGGATTTTTGGGAATTTCAAAGGAAATATTTTTTGATTGATTTTGAGATTTTGCAGGATTTTTTTGGTTTTAATGAAATTTTGTTAGATTTTGTAGGATTTTATGCAATTTCAAGAGATTTTGTGGGATTTTGTTAAATTTTTAAGGATTTCAAAGATTTTTAGGGATTTTGAGTAGATCTTATGAGATTTTCTGGAATTTTGACCAACTTGTATACGGATTTTGACCAGTTAACCACCCCTCGGGTTTAACTTCATCCATTGAAATTTGGGTAAATTGCATTGTTCTGTTTTAGCTTTGCTGATGTCAGCACGTCTGCACGATTATAACCGCTCCATAGCAGATATTGTAAAAATTGTCAAGGTTCACGAATCTACGATGAGAAAAAGGTAGGCAATTCTTATAGAAAATTCGTTTTAAATTCGCAAAAATAAAACTATTATTACGAATGGGAAAAACTAGAATAGGATTTTTCAAATAATGAAATAATTTTCAGACTGCTAGAATTTGGCGATACTCCAAGCAGCACGTTGACGCTAGATGAATTTATGACAGTGGATCTTGAAGAAGAACAGGATCCGCCATCCTTCAAGATGGCTAGAAAAAAGGATAAAGAACGGCTACAAAAGGTTAGCTTCCTTTTAGAATTTTCTAGAATATACAAATTATAAAAAAAATGCCAATTTCAGTTAATAGAAGAAGACGCTGATAACATTAGTGACCTTCAAAAAGAAATTGAAAGTCAATTAGTGGAACAGATTAAAAAAAGATCGGGGTCTAGTAGTAAGTAAATTGTTAACTTAATTTTACCCTAGTTAAAAAAACCCACACATCATCATCTGCCTCCAAAATCATCCGTTATCATTCTCTAGTTCACAGAGCAGCATTTGTATCATCATCTTAATCCGAATTTCAAAACCAATAATTGAAAACATCTAACCCCCTTTCTTATTTCTAACAATTTTCAAATATCAACCGCTCTATTAACAAAACTGAAAAAGCATCATATTTTTTTAGAGGTGGAACAGACAGAAACGAGAAGGTTTATTGACGAATCAACTTTGGGCACTATTCACCAGATAATGGACGAGGAAGTAGTTGTTCCAAAACGCCCTGGCCCAGTAGGATTAGGTAATTAAACTTTCATATTATTCAAAGAATAAAGTGATAAAATGGGAAAAGAAGTTAACTTCACAAAACTAAAACTATGTCTGAAAATCAATTCAGTTCAAATTGATTTTTTTGATCCACATTTAAGCTTCTAATTTACTTTGACACCATCATTTAAATGTGCTACAGTTGTTTTAGTCAGTCTTGTGTTTAGTTGACATGATAATTTCGTCATTTAAGTTTTTTCTGCATCAGGAATTGGTATCCACCAAGGTATCCACGGAGTTTGAGGGCTCATTTCTGCTCTAAAGTATAAATTTATTCCATTATTAGAAAAGTCTTAAGGCCACAATATCAGTTCATACAGGCTTATTATGCTCGGGTTTATGCAATCATTTCCAGATTAAGTTTTAACTTTTTTCTTTAGGAAATGTCCGCTACGTCCAATGTTACGTTACAACGATTATCAATGAAGAATTTTTAATTTTTTATTTTTTTTTTTGTGTGAAAGTTACACAACTATTTATGTATCCAATTATTTATCCTTATTCCGCAACCGCGGTAATTGCATATAAACCTCTCTAGAGTTTTGCCCTCCTGATGAGACATTTAGATTGCACAAAATGTATTTTTACGAGTAGAAAGTTTTATAATCATCATCCAGGCAGTAAAACTTTTTGAAAAACTGTCCCGACTTTCGTAATTTATAACTTTTTGTGAAACGTCTGACATTCTTGTGGTTGATATTAAAATTTCATTTGAGGAAGGCCCAGTTCTAATAGGAAAAGTTTAGATCTTTCTGACAAGTACAAATATGTGATGTTTCATTTCAGGTAAACAAACAAAAAAGATTTATAGTATGTAATACATAAATAATGAGACCAAGTTATATTGTAAGACCCTATGTTATGTTTATACTAATAATTCTCCTTTCCAATGTTAATTATAAGCGTACGCCTATGTCAATACTAATAAATATATAAAACTGCTTAATCAGCGGTACTGCACTGGTAGTACCGCCACCTGCATAGGAAAATGCTTGGATCAGCAAATATTTATTATTTAAGCCAGAGCTTTCCAGTAAGTAGCGTTCATTTGTTTTCAGGCACTCCCTGTAGCAATTTGATACACATATTTTCCGATTGTCACTATTGTATTTTAATTAATAAAATAAATGTTTTTTTAAAATTACAAGTTTCTGAATCGAAAATATAATTGGCGCAAGTCGGTGCGGATGTTCTTCAGAGTGCTATAGAGTCCAGAGATTGAATTTTCGAAAAAGTTTAATCCAATTCGTTCCAATTTTTGAAAAAATTAACTGAAGAAAAGAAGCAACAAGATCAACGTACAAAGTTAAAAGTGTTACAGTTTTAAGCATCGTGCCTTGTAAGTAATCCCTTTTTCCTATAAATTGTATTTTGTAATTGGTGTTTCATAATTAAGTTCTTTTGAAAAATTTCTTTTTTTTTTGAGTTTTTTTATCATAAAAAATTTTTCAATTTCAATTTGTTTTGGCATTGAGACCAAATACAAATAAAATAATTTTAAGCAAGTAACCTACGAGACTCAATAATAAATTTAAGACTTTAATTTTTGATTTTTTACGAAAAAAATAAATTTCCAATTTTTTATTTTTAAACTTCAGGAAACTGAATAATTAGTTAAAAACTTTAATTTTTTAAAGGTTTAGAGAAAAAAATTATTATATTTTCCACTTCTCTTCAAGAACATATTGCAAATCTTAAAAAGATATTTGAAAGATTAGAACAATTCAATCTAAAAATTCAATTAGACAAATCCGAATTTTTAAAGAAATCAGTAGAATTCTTGGGACATGTCATAACCCCAAATGGTATTAAACCAAACCCAAAGAAAATCGAAGCAATAATAGTATATTATGCAATGATCATGTAATGATAGCCATTAATACACGAGCATGTTGTAGGATACGAAACGAGCCGCAGGCGAGTTTCGTATATAACATGCGAGTGTATTAATGGCCATTACATGAGAGTTGCATACACTATTTTTTCTACTGCCATTGATAAAACTTATGATATTTAGATATGTCAACATTATGCTTAACTTTTAAGAGATTTTATAAATGAGTAATCCATACAGTTGAAGGTTTCATTTTTTGTTGTAATTCTTCAAAGTATACTATCAAAACATTTTCTGAGAAGGACGATGTGTTTTGGGTCTCGAATACTTACTTTCAGGAAATTTAACGAGAGCTGTTCCGACAAAATCACGAGAGCGCAGCTCGAGTGATTTTGTGGAACAGATCGAGATAAATTGCATGAAAGTAAGTATGAGAGAGCAAGCCAAAAAATATCCTGCTCAAAATCTGAGCTCGAATGGTATTTAGTACGGCAATTCCACGAATGCATAATAAAAATAAAATATGGAAATACTTTTTAAAATGAACAGTTATTGAAGGTACAATTTGAATAAATATTTTGCCCCTTAAAATTTGACTCTACAGAAAGAGAAGAAGACTCTGTGTTCTCAGGAATTGAATTTACTATTTCGCTATTAATTCATCTTTAATTGTCCCAAATCGCTGCATGTTGAAAATATTTTTAATTTTATTTAAAAATACACTTTTAATAAGCTAAAATGATAGAACTTGTGAATTTTTGTGACAATTATTTGACAGATGATTCAAAAACCAATTTTATATGCAATTGTTACTACGGTAACGATTGCATCAACAGAAAATTTATCCGATTTTTTTATCCAGTTATATTTTCTCTTCCTTCCTATTTATCCGCTAGCAAATTACGATTTTTGACATTTCAAATGGGATTATTTATACATGAGTGGAATTGTCCATATAATTTTTCGCAAATTTTCTTGGACTTGTCCGGTAGTATATTATTACCTGCATTTGTCGCCTTTTCTGTAATTTCTGGAGGTGTTAGTAAAAATTCTTCGTTATCACTCAATATTTCCAGAATAATGCCTTATCCCAAACATTAGGTAACTTTTAATAACAATTCGAAGTATTTTTTTCATGAAATTATTGTTTTTCGCTAAATTACCATGGAAAAGCTATAAACAAAGTGCTGTCATCATTCAAAAAAAAAATAATTCAAAATTTCTTAACTGGTGGCGCCATCTATTGACAATGTATAATAATGAATAAAGTAAAAATTCTTCCTTATCACTCATTATTTCCATAATAATTATTCTTTGTCCCAAACTTTAGGTAACTTTTAAACAATTCGAAGTCTTTTTTATAGTTATCAAAATGATTGTTTTACGCAAAATTACCGTTAAAAATGTTTAATATCTTAACTAGTGCTGCCATCTATCAACATTGTATAATATTAAAAATGAGTATTATAATGAAAATCTGTATCGTAATGAAGTTCATTATAATACAGATTTTAATCGTTTAATAGCGTATTATGAAATGTCAGTAGAAAAAGAAATTTCCAATCCCAAAAACCTTAAAAGAAATTAAATCATTTCTAGGATTGATAGGATATTATCGAAAGTTTATCAAAAACTTCGCTAAAATCACAAAACCAATGACAATTTGTTTAAAAAAGGATAAAAAAGTAATTCACGATTCTGAATTTCTAAAAAGTTTTGAAACTTGTAAAAACTTATCAATCAATGATCCTATTTTACAACACCCTGATTTCAATAAACCATTTTTATTAACTACAGACGCATCAAATTATGCTATTGGCGCTGTATTGTCACAAGGACCAGTAGGTTCAGATTTACCAATTGCTTACGCAAGTCGTACATTAAACCCTGCGGAATGTAATTATTCCACAATTGAGAAAGAATTACTAGCCATAGTATGGGCAACTAAATACTTTAGACCATACTTATTTGGATAGAAATTTACAATTTTATCTGACCATAAACCACTTCAATGGTTATTCTCTGTTAAAGAACCCGGATCTAAATTAGTCCGATGGAGATTAAAATTAGCAGAATATGATTACGAAATCAAATACAAGAAAGGAACACTCAATATGAATGCAGACGCATTATCAAGACCTCCTTTACAACTAAATGCTATTTCTAGATCAGATTCAAGTACAGAATCAGATTCCGATGAAAAGTTTCATAAAACTTTAGGATCAATGGTGGAAGACACACCACTAAATAATGACGAGATTATTGAAAAACATTTCTAAGATACTGAAATTTTTAAACCTCATATACAAGCAAAGAAACCTATTAATAAAGGCAAAGAAATTAAAATAAATGACGAACATAAAGATATTCCATTGTCCGAATCTACTCGTTCAGCAAATTCACCACAAAGAGAAAAAGAAAAACCTAAGATTAAAATTTTATCTCACGTAATAATACCTCCAAAAAGATTGAAGAAAAATCCAATTGAAACAGATATAATTGAAAAAGATTTAATTCAAGAAGATACAATTGAGAATGAAGTAATCGAAGACGATCAAACTATTCACACTTCTCTTGAAAACCCTATTCTAGGAGCCCCTTATACGAAGAAACATGTAAATCTTTTTGCTAACCAAATCATTTTTAGATACTCTAATAATAATGCTATTCGCAAAGAAAGTATTATTCCATTTCCTAACAAGACAAGAATAACATTATTTTTACCTAATGACCCATTAGAGGAACAAATTATTAAATTAATAAAGGAATATCTTCCACCAAATACGTATTGTATGTATTTCCACAACAAAACGTTAGAACCTATTATACTTAGAGTTCTAAGTACATCATTCAATTCGAATTCGTTCAAGTTATGTATTTCCAATTCCTTTGTTGAAGACATAACTGAAACTGACGAACAGCAAGAGAAAATTAAACTATACCTATACCATGAGACTAAAACATCTCATCGCGGAGTTACAGAAAATGTTTCATCTTTAAAGAAACGATATTATTGGCCTAATCTAGAAAAAGATGTTCAAGCATATGTCAAAACATGCGAAATTTGTAATAAGACAAAATATGAAAGGCAACCCTATAAAATAATATTCAAACCAACTCCAATCGGTTCAAAACCCTTT